TTACTATACTTGAAGGTTACAAATTTCATTAAAGCAATATCAGGTAAAAGCGATAAAGTTCCAATGCTATACGCATATGCATTTGGCAATGGTATTCTCTAACCACTGACATTACAAGTGTTCTGAAATATAATTTCAGTCTGGAAGACTCTGAAGTATTTGGTGCACTTATTGTGGCCGAGAGGCTGTAACAGACCACCATGGGTACCGTGTACAGACACAGTATACTGGCTCCAAGATGACCAGGCCGAGAGGCTGTTCCATGGGTGTGGCTCCAAGACCACTGTGGCCGAGAGGCTGTACCAGACCACCATGGGTACCATGTTCAGACACAGTATACTGGCTCCAAGATGACCACTTATTGTGGCCGAGAGGCTGTACCAGACCACCATGGGTACCGTGTTCAAACACAGTATACTGGCTCGAAGATGACCACTTATTGTGGCTGACAGGCTGTACCAGATCACCATGGGTACCGTGACACAGTATATTGGCTCCAAGATGACCACTTATTGTGGCCGAGAGGCTGTACCAGACCACCATGGGTACCGTGTTCAAACACAGTATACTGGACCACTTATTGTGGCTGAGAGGCTGTACCAGATCACCATGGGTACCGTGACACAGTATATTGGCTCCAAGATGACCACTTATTGTGGCCGAGAGGCTGTACCAGACCACCATGGGTACCGTGTTCAGACACAGCATACTGGCTTCAAGATGACCACTTATTGTGGCCGAGAGGCTGTACCAGACCACCATGGGTACCGTGTTCAAACACAGCATACTGGCTCCAAGATGACCAGTATTGTGGCCGAGAGGCTGTACCAGACCACCATGGGTACCGTGTTCAGACACAGCATACTGGCTTCAAGATGACCAGTATTGTGGCCGAGAGGCTGTACCAGACCACCATGGGTACCGTGTTCAGACACAGCATACTGGCTTCAAGATGACCAGTATTGTGGCCGAGAGGCTGTACCAGATCACCATGGGTACCGTGTTCAGACACAGCATACTGGGTCCAAGATGACCAGTATTTCGGCCGAGAGGCTGTACCAGACCACCATGTGTACCGTGTTCAGACACAGCATACTGGCTCCAAGATGACCAGTATTGTGGCCGAGAGGCTGTACCAGGCCACCATGGGTACCGTGTTCAGACACAGCATACTGCTCCAAGATGACCAGTCTGTGTTTTGTCACCCTAATGTTGGGCACTAGGCAGGGTAACAACAAGTACCATCTTTTAACACTGTTTCAGTTTGACATGGCTACCATAGATGGGTCTTCAGAGGATCTATGGCTTCAACACATATATATCTCATGCTGATACCTAGGTCTCATAAGCTGCTGTGAGAAGATTTGCCTGGGACATAAGACTGGGCTACTATATGCAAGGACTTTGAGACAATGTTTATACGCATACCCGAGGAGCATGTCAAATCATTTCTTCAAACAAAATAAGCTGACAAAAATAACGGGGATGACCATTAGATGCCCTTATATGGAAATATCCCTGATGGATCTAGCCTGATTTTGATAAACAAGCACAACAGTGCAAGCATTTTCACATTTCTGATGTGCGGATGGTATACTCCCTTGGTGTCATTCTTGTTTAGTGGTCATTTGTCGTCATTCACTTCATGCTCAGTTAATGAATTTATAACAGGTATAATTACTGGTAACACCACTCAGAATACCTGACAAAGCTTTTCATTAGACATTTCGTGTCCATGGGGTAAAGAACGAGGCAAGTTCTATGGATATACAACTTCTTTAATATAATATGAGCGACATTTCGGTGTAGCTACTAACACCGTTATCAACTTAATCAAGCTAATGGTGTACAATACTAAAGGCAAGGTTATATAGTATGACCAGAAATTATTGAGAATTTTAGGAATATGTTTAATTGGATATCTAGTATAAACAACCTTGACCAGCTATCAAGTGCTTGGTTTCATTCAAGAGCGACAACTCCGTTAATCCTTTTTTTATTAGTTTGTGAAGAGTTATCCCCCTTTGTTTACTTGCTAGCAGACGACATTTTCAGGGATCCTCAGTAGGGATGATTTAGAGAAGAGGAAGTTGATTTTTAGAGTATTATAACAAGGACATCAGATCAGCTAAAATGATTTCAAGTAGAACAGGCATCCCTTTGTCCACTGTTTATAGTGTTTTGAAAAATTGTGCAAATGGATATGGCACTGAGCACCAGGGAGGCGCAGGTAGGCCCAGAAAATTGACTGTCGGTGACTGAGGCGGCTTGGTATTCTTGTTTCTAAAAACAAACGAAGGTGTTTAGAAAACTTAAGGCTGGATATGATTGATAGAGGAACTGTGGCTGTCTGTAAGGAGACAATTAGAACTGAGCTGCATGCAATGGGTTGGCAGAAAAGTCGAGGAATTCCATCACCGATCATGAAACCTGAACAAAAGGAGCTAGTGTTTCCCCCCGTCATATTTGGCAGGGTGCAGCGCCCTGCCCTTTATATTCAGCGCCCTGTCATTGTGACAGATCATAGGAACAGGCTGAAAGTAAATAACTGCACCAAGCTACTTATGGTCAGCATGAATGCTAAGTCTTCTACTGACATTGACTTGAGGAAGTGTGTGGCCAAGTTCTTGGCACGAAAGAAGAGGAGAATATGGATGAATAATTTTATGAACTTTGCATCAAAGCATGCCAAACAGACCCAAATTATGTCATCCACAGTAAATTATTGAACCCTTAATTGTTGTGCCTTTTTTGTTTGCTGAATGCCCTTTTGAATTTTAAAGTGCCCTTTTTTCTCTGAGTCTACCCTGCCCTTTCATAATCCTGGGGGAAACACTAGGAGCGAAGGTTGAACTGGTGCTTACAGCATAGAAATTTTAACTGGGACAATGTGATTTTCTCAGATGAAAGTTCTGTGTGGCTGTTTCCTAATACACTGAAATTCTGGACCAAGCAAACCGAAAAACTTTTGTATCAGCACCCAAAGTACAGTCCGAAATTTAACGTGTGGGGTGGCATATCAGTGTTAGGGGCAACACCCTCTGTGTATTTGAAGGGAATATGAACAGTGAGCGGTACACAGATATTCTCGAGGGACATTTACTTCCATCTGCTCACGTGTTCTATGGAATTTTTTCCAGCAGGACAACGACCCAAAACATCGTTCAAAGTATCACAGGCCTGGTTTCGGACCCAAAATATGACATTATTAGATTGGCCAAGCTATAGCCCTGACCTAAATCCAATAGAAAATGTTTGGGGACTTATGAAGGAAAGTGTCAATAAGAAAAATCTGACAAATATTGCTGAAATGAAAGAAGAGGTGGTCCGATATTGGGACAGCATGGACCACTACTTTCTAACTTATTTGATCAGTAGTATGTACACAAACAGGATTTGCTATGGGGGTATTATTGGGAGGAAGCCAGTGATATGACAGACAGGAGAATAATGGGATTATTGAGTATTGTACATCATTAGCTTGATAACAGTGTTAGTAGCTACACCGAAACATCGCTCATATTATATTAAAGAAGTTGTATATCCATAGAACCCTCTCCTTGTTCATCACATCAACTGCTAAATGCCACTCAAACAAGTTGCATGGGGTAAGTTCAGGTCTGAAGAAGCAAATGTATTACATGTCATGTAATATGCACGTGGAGGTGCGATAAGAGGTTGATTATTAGTTGAGTTTTAAAAACATGGATCAAAAGATTAACTGATAACATGTTGACTGATTTACCACTTTTATGCACAGTGGACTTGTCAAAACATAGTGTTTATGTAGGTTTACTTACATGAAAATGTGACGGTGTATAAACAACATCCTTTGTTCAAAGGGTTAACTGATAAAATGTTCATCGACTGCTTGTTGCTCTCTACCTGATTGACTTTTTCATAAAGAACGGTTGACATGAAAATAGTTGTCACATAACAGTTTGTGAGTTTGAGTTTTATGCTGCTTTTAGCAATATTCCAGCAATATCATGGCAGGTGACACCAGAAATGGCTGACAGAATGAAAATTAAACACAAGAATGTGATGAATCACTAAAGTTCATACAAAGAGATTAGAATGTGATGACATACAATTCTCATTCAGAACTAATACTTGTCTTCATGGACAGTCAACAACCTGCAACTATTCCCATATATTTCCCAACATGAATAAACTCTACTCTACTCAAACTCTGCATGTATAAATGACTCCACTGTTACACCTGCATATCTCTCCTAGCATACAACTATTTCCTTCCTGTAAAGGTCAAGTTAGTAGATGTTGGGGTTAACCTACACCCAGTGTTGCTGAAGGGGCCATTGTCAGCATTTGTACTACAGATATGTACTCAAGGTTCATTTGTGTATTCAGAAACATATCATCCCAAAATCAGAATACAAAAAATGTATCCTACAATGAGGCCTTTTCGCATTGCACTGTTTCCTTGATCAGATTGAGTGAGTGAGCGAGTTGGGTTTTACGCCGCTTTTAGCAATATTCCAGCAATATCACGGTGGGGGACACCAGAAATGGGCTTCACACATTGTACCCATGTGGGGACTCGAACCTGGGCCTTCGGCGTGACGAGCGAAAGCTTTAACCACTAGACTACCCCACCGCCCCTTTCTTGATCAGAACTGTCTACTGTTGTATGAGATGCATTCCACTGTGTTATGGAAGAAAGGAGTATACATAATGATGAATATTTCACAATGTATATAGCATCAGTCAAAATCACATGAACAGGAACTACTACATACAGTTTTAGTTGCGGGATGAGGAATATGGACTCGTGTGCGATTTAGGGTACTGGGTACATTTCGGTATTTTTGACTTTGTTTAGAGTACATTTCTGTATATAGAAACATACTTGGGGTACATATCTGTAGTACCCGTGCTGACAATGACCACTTCTGACCCAGTATTTATAAATATATATGCAGCCCATGAGTTTGTTACAAAACCATAAACTAACATGGATAAAATGAACAAACATTTGCTCTAGAAAATAGATTTTATTCAAAAGTAACTTCATTATGCACAGTTGATTATCAAAGTACTGAATAGTAAAAGCAGTTTTGATGATTATTGATACCTGACTTTATACATGTGAACAGAAAGAAAATAGTGTTATTATATAACAATAAAGACAGCACATAGCATAGTAAACAGTAGATAATAGCATTGCATTAAAGACGTGAAGCTGTAAAACTATTTTCAAAATCTAAAAACTATAAACACATTTAATGTTTTGTTAGATCAAAACTTGCCTCCCAAGGCCAAGAAAGCCACTTTCTTCCCTGAAAGTATGCTTACATACATCTGTATCACAAGAAATATATGGATATATATGAACCATAATTTGAGTAAAACTAGAAAGGTAATGTGTAAAATATAAAATAAGTGGTAAAGAAAATATTTCTGGAAAAAATGTCATAAAATAAAATGCATTTGGGTATATGATTAATGAAAATAATATTTGGTATTAACAATTATCAGCTAACATTTGATGTGTGAGTTTAGTTTTAGCCACTTTTACAAATATTCCAGCAACATCACGGCAGGGGACAACAGAAATGGGCTTCACACATTGTACCCATGTGGGCAATAGAACCCTGGTCTTCAGCGTGACGAGCGTACGCTTTAACCATTAGACTACCCCCACCGCCAACATTTGATATGTAGCAGTAAGAGCACCTTGTATATGTATTAACCAAGAGTTTCTCAACACCAACCACTAGTTATTATGGGGGATAGTGAAGAACAAAATTGCACAGGAAACTGGAAGAGGAATGACATGGAAGAACAACCGGGTGATGCCATCATGAACACACCATTACCCAAACACTGATCACTGTGACATTCCAGTATTGTGTTCTATACAAAGCATGGATATAATCCTATTAAGATTTTACAAGTTTTACCACTGATATGACTAAAGAAGCAACACATACTTGATATAAAGGTACAGGACATATGCAGTTACATGTTTAGGGCTGATATGAACCGATAATCTACACATATTTCATATGAAAGAACCAGATATATCTAGAACTGGTCACAGCTAGGTGGAATTTTCATTTGTTGCATTCTCAAAACGGTTAATGTGGCCAAAGTTAATTTTGAGGTAAAGGTAAAGACTTCTATGGCAAAGTAAAAACTGGGACCAAGTCTAACATAGTGATATGTATTCTAATCTCGAATGCAGGATAATCAGTCAAATCTTGTATATCAAAGAGGACCAGAGAAGAGCAGATGTTCATCTTTTGATCAGAAAGAACAAGCTGATTTATATAGTACTGTCGTTTCTTTTATATATGCCGGAGCAAATCCATACACTGACTTGAGAGTTCACAGCATCTTGTAACATGTATTCAGAGCATATCATGTCTTAGGTGAATGTCATCTTAGATTCCAACAGGGAAATACAATAACGTTTGGATATTTGTGCAATTTTATCCTCAACTGAATCAGAAAATAACTGCAATAACAGTTTGCTTACATAAAAAACAGATGTCATACTAGTAAATGAACAGTTGAGCTTTTGCAACACAGTTGCCCATACTAAATGTGAGAAATGAGAGACAAGACATACGAGATCAGTTCACATGTACATGTGGTGGTGTTGATAGGGCTTAAAAGAACAATAATCAGAAATGTTCTGAATGGGAAGAATTATTAACAATTTTTGATATGAAAATTATATTATATTGATAAAATCTAACATAAACTTTTGATGAAATACAGTTTTAATTTAAACACACAAACCCAAAGTTTTGTGTTTATTCATGGGCTGTTACTATCCTAAGTTAAGAGTGCTAATTTGTGAGTAATCCATGCATGTATATTTCAAAACTCACCAGTGACGTGAAAAACGTTGCTGTATTTTTTTTAGAGTTTTTCTGCATTTTTGCTCAATGTGACTTCCATGATTTCTATGATCTACATTGATAGCCTGCCCTAGGTGTTCACAGTACAACATCCACACACATACAACAGTAATATGACAAACTGCCACTATTGTTGCTTGTGAACATTGTAATGGCATGACATTATTGCTTCTGAATGGCTTGGTGTTCACTTGACACAAGCCGATAACTCTGGACCTTTCAAACATGTTCCTTCAACACAAGCCTGTAAGTATGGACTTTTCTCGCCTCAACCCTGCTTTCCTAACAACTGTTGAGAATGTCTACATACATAATGACATTACTCATCACTATCTTAAGTACATGCATTTATGTTAACCTCAGAGCTTTCACACAGGAATAGTAATGTCGGAATTAACAAGACCTTTCTAACTTGTTCCTTTAACACAAGTCGGTTACTATGAAACTTTCAAACTTCAACCCTGCTTTCCTAACAATTCTGTTGAGACTGTCTACATACATCATGGACATTACTCATTACTTGTAAGTACATGTATTTATGTCAATATGAAAGACTTCACCCAGGAATAGTACAGTATGGATGAACAAACCTCTTACCCTGGACTTTTCAAACCTCAACCCTGCTTTCCTAACAATTCTGTAGAGACTGTCTACATACATGATGGACATTACTCATCACTTGTAAGTACATGTATTTATGTCAATATGAAAGACTTCACCCAGGAATAGTACAGTCTGGATTAACAAGTCTACACAGAACCAGATGTATGTCTCCCCACATATGATTGTAAGAATGAAACAATGAATCATACCCAACATATTCAAAGCAGTTCTATTACAAAATATAAGCAGCTTCATAAATATCCTGGAAAACTTTAAAATTTCATACAACAAAATGATACATCCCCTCTCTTTCAATAAAACTCTCACAGTTAATTTCAACAAGAACTTATCCAATCATGACAATTTTCTATTTGCTCTCCAATAAGAAATGTTCACTCGTAAAAAGTAATTTGTTGAATCTACAATCACAAATCCCTCGGATGCAAAAAACATCTACATCAAGTAATAAGACAAGAAATATACCTTGTTAGTTTCTAATAACATATTTCTACTGTTATTCTACTTGTCTTGTTTCAATATAATATATTAATAATCTGTAAAACTAGATATTTTCACAGTTACATATATATGTGTAGATACTACTCTTCACATCATTAAACCCTCACAACATCAGCAGGAGATAACCCTTAACTGATACTATGCAATAATAACATATTTTTGCATATCATTCTGAACACTATCAGTAAACAGAAAGACCAGTTTTCATAACTTTTCAAATGAAGAAAAGGATTTTTTAATTGTGGACAGTGACAGAATCCCAAAGTGACACAGTGAAAGAAAAATGAGCAGCCTTCTCTAGGAATGTGTGATTATTTTTTGTCACTGTTCCAACGATATGTGCCTGTATACTTGAAACCCTTCTTGGCAATAAGATCATCAGCTTCTGACGGACCGCGACTGAAATCACCAGAAAATAAGGCCATTAGAAACTAACAAATACAACAATTAAATAATCTGGCTTCTGTGAACCTAGCACTTTCATACTTTCATCCTGCAATATGTGGCAGTAACTCTCAACAAATGTCAAAGGAGGACAAATGTAGATTGATGTTCAGTTCCAGAAATAATGTTGTCCTATTTAAGAATATAGATCTAAATAAAAAATCCAAATGGAGACCAGGGGCTCCTTTCATGAAGCAACCTTTACTAAAGTTAACCTTAACTCCCATTCTTTAACACTGCACTAAGGTTACCATAGTGATTTAAGATCATCCTTAGTGTCTTGTGAAAGGAGACCCTGAACAATATTATCTCTGGCCAAGAGCGGAGACAATATCTAGCCTAGCCAAATATATTCTAGACTTGAGTTGGACTCCTATTTAATTTATTCCTTAGGGTCAGGATGACAAACTGGCAACACCATGATTGATCAATACTGTAATATAGAAGTGATGTTCAGATGCAATATCAAACCAGATGTGCTGATAAATTGTGCTATGGTGTAAGATTCAATTTGTTCATTTGATATGCATTTCCAATTTTTGATTAAATAATTTGTTTCACTTTTTGGCAGGATAAACAGCTGTTACTAATTTACAAACCACATGATTTGTCTGTGTCGAGAGCAGTCTACTTGATTTGTTTGTTTGTTGTATAACGCTGCACACAGCAATATTACTAAGAAGTGTAATCCCAAATATAACATATGTTACGATATCCCAGTTGTATGGCAGCGGCCTGTAAATAATTGAGTCTGGACTAGACAATCCAGTGATTGGCATCTTGAGCATCGTTCTATGCAAATGAGATTCCATGAGTCAGCAAGCCTGACTTTCCAATCCCATTCGTCGCCTCTTACGGTTGGTTTCTTGTTTAACACCGCACTCAGCAATATTCCAGCTATATGGCGAGTCACCTCCGATGACAGGCAAGTGAGTGAGTTTAGTTTTACGCCGCACTCAGCAATATTCCAGCTATATGGCGGCAGTAAATAATCGAGTCTGCACCAGACAATCCAGTGATCAACAGCATGATCAACCCAGTTATTGAGCCTGACGACCCGATCTTCTTAGTTGCCTCTTATGGCAAGTATGGGTTACTGAAGATCAATTCTAACCCGGATCTTCACGGGTTGGGTTACTGAAGACCAATGGTAACCCAGACAGTCTATTTGAGAGCATCTGGTTAATCAACCTTCACATTTCATGGAGTGTAGTAAGTGCAAATCTGATGATGAGTCAAACTGCAAAACTTAGTCACGATCAAATTTCAACCTATGTATTCTTCAGTCTGAATAACAAATTGACCCCTGCACATTCCAACAGTAAACCAAGTACACCCCATTAATGTGCAATAAAATTCCATGAAGATTACATACAAACTTTTGTCCAAACATCATCTACAGCTGATTAAAATTCTTTGAAGACATTTGGAAACAGTGTCTATCATAAACATTTTGCTTTAAGTGTACTGCAGATTCACCCCAGTGAAGCATAAGACATTTGTGCCGAGAACAATGGACATCTGTGAGTCATTGGTTCTTATGGCTGGACAAATTGCTGTGGCTCTTGCTCACTTTCAATGACTCAGAACATCATAAATCATGAGTACAACATCTTAAACTTACTTTGATGAACAAGACAATATTAAACTTCTTTGAAGCATAACTCTAAAGTCTCATGACTAACACAAACATTACACAACTTATGATATTAAACAACCTAAAGAAACATTCAAGACAAAATACAAACTATGATGACAAAGCTATTTTCAAAATAAGACCTCAAAGCCACATTTTAAATGAACTCAAAAGCTAATTCAAACTAAGACCTCATAGCTATATTCAAAACATGACCTCAGTGCTAAATTTTAGATGAATTCAAACCTAAACACAAAACATGACCTCAAAACTAAAGTTTAGATGAATTCAAACCTAAACACAAAATATGACCTCAAAGCTAAATTTTAAATGAATTCAAACCTAAACACAAAATATGACCTCAATGCTAAATTATAAATGAATTCAAACCTAAACACAAAACATGACCTCAAAACTAAATTTTAGATGAATTCAAACCTAAACACAAAACATGACTCAAAACTAAATTTTAGATGAATTCAAACCTAAACACAAAATATGACCTCAAAGCTAAATTTTTAAGATATGGACTTAATACTAAATTCACCCAAACCAAGCAGTGAAAGCAACCTACAATTTGGATCACAAAGTCTCTATTGCAGGTACCATGGTAACTATTACATAAATATTGTGCTTTATGGTTGCATTTTTAGTAAGACACCGCATTCAGCGCGTGTGTATAGAGCCAAAATGTACAGACAAAGCGATCTCCATGGCAACGAAATCGAAAACTGAACACAATCAGCTAGAGTATGTTTCATGAATTTGTAGTCAGAAGTTGTCAAGAGTTCAGTCCCTAAATGTTGAGCCTCTAGAACACAAACATCATATCCTGATATACGGGCCAGCTTCACAGCAGGCTACCTCAGAACCATCACATGACAGTAACTAACAGGTGGCAAAACAACATCAAAGGCTGTTTGGTGCAAAATTTGGTTCTGTGTTAATTATGTCTAAAGTCTAGACACAGTCAAAACTCTGAAAATGGCTGCCTAAAGGGTCCACCACTGCAGTAATGAACAAGTGTCATCAGAAGATGGCAAATCTTTCTGGCTCTCACAAACTAAAAAAAACCAAATCATCAGATTTTGTTCAGCGAGTCCTACAAAAGTGAACTGTCCATCTTGATGAGAATACCTATCTTATCTGGCTGTCTGTGTAAAAGAGGAGGTTTCATTGGCATCAAATCTATACATGGAATTGGGATTTGGAACCTAGTATTTGTTTGACAGGTTCTTTTTCACAAAGATAGAAGTCAGCGGAATTCACAATATTCGAAATTCGGTCAAGGATTAAAGGAACCGGTCTACAATTTGATTACTATATGTACTGAAGACAACAGATTGTTTTGGAGATGTGCTCTGGTAAAGAACATTCCTCTTAAATAACTTGTTGCAATGGAAACAGAGAAATTAGAGACATACTAAAAATCCCTAGATATGAAAAGGCACACGTTGACAACCTGACCTTTGTGTGTGCACATATTTATGAAAGAATACCTATTAGTCATGGTCCAGACAAACACACCACTATGAACAGACAATGAATAAGACAAAGTCAAATTTGTTAACATAGAAACTGGAAAAATATAATGCAAAAATGCCCATAAATATCAAAAGGCACCAGTTCATAAACCGCATGACTGAATACAACTTAGTTTCATAGATAGGATATGATTACAGACAGACAAGCTGACTTTTTTATCCCCTCTTTGGTGAGATTCAAGTACAAATTGTTTTTTTTATATGCTAAATATGTATTTCTCCCATACGTAAGAGTCTCATGTAATTGAATCAAGTTGTATTCCGATTCATCAAAATTCTTTGAAGACTTTCTACTTTAACTTTGTTTAACACGATGTCATGTTTGTATATGGTCCTTGATAAGAACAGAGCTGGCTAAATTGCCTGCATTCCCACCAACTTCCTGACATTAGTACCAGCAACTGAAGTCATAAGCATCACTGAGGTTTCACTGCCATCAATACCTGCTAACACGGAGGGATTACATGCTTCATCAAAGATTATACTTCATCTTGACAGGTCCTTGGGTCGTTCGACTTGCTGCTACTGAATTTGAATCTATGATCCCTACTAAATCTTGAACTCAATAACACTGGGATAATGAAAAGAACCCCTAACTTTAATGCTTAATTTCAACCACTCACAAGAGTTGCATGAAATACATATGGTAATTGGTCCTCAGTCCTGCAAACACAGTATTGCTTAGGACACTGAAAATTTATTCACCTGCAACTCCAGAGTCGAAAGGTCTCAGCCTTGCATCTGGGAGTTAGATGTGCCATGAATAAAATGACAGTAGGTCCATTAAAGGGATGCAGTTTTAATTCCAATGTTTTTTGTCCTACTGTTGCACATAAATTTTACTTGGCTTTTATTCACCTCACCATCTTTACACTGAAAGCGATTTGAACATGTCCCATGTTGAACAGAGCTTAGATTGACATTACACAGCATGTTGTGTGGTGAATATTCCAACAGGACCCACTTGGCTTGAAAGTTTGTTTTTGCCTCTTACGACAAGAATGGGTTACTGAAGACAAGTTCTAACCTGTATCTTCACAGGTCACTTGGCTTGTAAGCTTCATCATTTGGACACTTCAAAATGTGCATTTTATGCACTATATGGTTTAACAAGATTGTATTAATATGTATGTTTTAATAAAAAAATTGTCTCACAATGAACTGATGCATTACATTGTTACCATTTCAGATCAGTTCTAAAACCGACAAGTCATCGGGATCATAATACGTTATACTGGAGTGTCATGGGGGAGTCAGTGATTTACGACTTATTATGACTACCGGTATTTTACATTAGCCCTGTACGCTTGCTGAAAGTACAGAAACAGTCAGGTCACACACAATTACCACCAATTTCAGTCTTCAAACAGAGTGCTGATGACATATTCTGTCCTGGAATTTCCACAGGACTTAGTTGTCAGGCACGTCCACTGAACCTTGTCATGAGTGACTGAGCACAGATAAGCTGTCATTGTAGAGAAATTCAAGCTGTATTCAGGGATACTACACAACAATCAAAAGATACTTGCCCAAATGCATGTGAAACTTTATTAGCCTTGGTGCTTTTAACACTAAACAGTCTTGGGCTAGAAGAATAGAGCCAAAATGTTCCCAAATATTCACCTTATTGTGGCATGGGGCACATACTGAACTTAGTAAGGGCCATTAGTTTGTTAGTCTGAGGCTAGTCAAAATGGACTAGTTGTTTTCTCCCCATAGTTAGCTATCATATTTAAACCACAAGTCCGAACTGAGCTGGAAACTACTTAGATATG